TTTGTTTCCCATGAATGCCTTTTGATGGACTCTTCAGCCACTGATATCTTAAGAAAGTCAAAAATATTGTCGTGTTCTTTGAGGGACTTATTCTTCTCAATCAAACGATTAAACTCTTCCTGTAATGTTTGAAAGCCAACATCAACTGATTTATTGGGCAGTGTTTGGTCCGCCCATTGCTTCAGTCTTATGTCCACCTGAGTGTTGAATGTACTGCAATGTGTTATCCATTAGAATTGTTTTAACTGTTTAATAAACTGCAAAACAAACCCGGAATCTGATGTTTGTGCGGCCGGTAAATAGATCTGTTCGAACACATAAAAGCCCACTCTTTCCCACAGCTTCTTAGAAATCACTTCTTCCCTATTATCACATATTTTAATATTTATGAGCACTTAAACAGATATTACAAACCAGTAAACGGGACTCAATTGACTTAAGTTAACGATTTCGTCCAGTATTTCTCCCTTTGCCTTCTCAAACAGTTCGTCCTATTTATTCAAATACAATATACGGTAATAATTATAATAATTGTAATCAATAGTTGCATTAATCATCACTTACTCTATCGAGTTCTCTGAGTCGAGGAAAACTGTTTTTCCATTCAGTCTCCAAATTAAAACGTGTGGCTATTTGTAAATTATCATCAATTATAATGTGTGACCACAACTTCTACGAAACAATTACCTTTGAAAGCGTCGGCCTGTTGTTCAACAGACGCCTTAACCATTTTCCAAAAGCATTCAGAAACTGCGAGACTAAGACTCTGAGTCGTACACTGAGAACCGTTCAAAATACCAGTCCTTATAAACAAAATCATAAGTCAGTTGTCGTTATACAGTAAACTTATTTCCAATCGTTAATTACTTGCAAAGCTTAGAGTTGGAGAAGAATTGTGATTCATATTCCTTAATGGCTTGAATGGTGTCGTCTCTATTGCCGCGTCCGGTGACGACAGCAAAATATCCCAACGCTTTCATTGGAAACAGTTTTCCGTCCAGTATTTTCTGGAGTCTCGAGGGGTTAGTCATGTTCTGTTCGGCCAAATCTACTTTTGTCAACACAAATATAGTTCGCTTCCCATTTGGATCCATTTGACTGACAATATCGGTAACAATACTGCGCTCGGCGTCGACCGAACCGTCTTGAATGCAGAGTATTATAGCGTTAGGATTACTCATATATGTCTTAGTGATCGCTTTAATGGCATCTCTGGTGTCTTCGGCCATTTCGGTGGTAACAGTGCTTATAATTCCGGGCAAATCAACTAAAACCATGCGTTGAATGCCCGGTCCCTCCACTGTCATCGCAATCACATCACTGCTAACAGTGCGGCCATTCTTCACACAACTCTTCATTCGGATCTCCACTTCTCGTCGCAGATCTGCTAATTCTGACTGTTTTGTTAAATCAAACTCTCGAGAGCTGTCTTTGAAACGCGCCGTATGATAGGGGCCCTCCTTTAGGGTCACTTTGACCGGCGATCGGGTCATCATCTCTCCTGCCCCGCGAGGGAATATTCGCGCGCCCGCTATCATCTCCAGAACACTAGTCTTCCCAGAACTTTGATCCCCAACCACTATAACTCGTGGCAAATGGTCTTGAGTTTTATAATTGGAGTCATAATCACTCAATTCGTCCAATACTTCCGAATATAAATCAATTAAAGACTTTTTGACTTTACGAACAGAATTATTCTGTTTTCCTCTCAACAAAACCGTTTTCTTTAGATTTCTGTTCTCTTTCTCTAGTCTTTCGATCTCTTTCTGGTATTTGAGCTAAAAATGACATTATTTTCAAAATTATTGTAATTCCCAAACATGTGTTCCGGTGTCTGACCTGAACAGTGATCAACTCGTCTTGTAATCGTTGAATGCGAGCCTTTTCGCTATCCTTTGTATTCTTTGCATTCGTTGTCTCTTCGCTCGATTCAGATGACGGAGAGGAAGGAATAAACGGTAATTTCAAATGAATGGTGTCTTCGTTTCCTGCAATAAACAGCATTCCTTTAACAGACATTTAGAGCATGTTTTCAATTCTACTTATTATAACTTCGTGTCCAAAGTCAGGACTCACCTGAAGACTGATCCCTTTGTTGCTGTTGTTCTTTTGCCTCTTCTATCCATTGTTTTAAAAGTTCAATCTTTTGGTTCGCGTTTGCATTCAATTTAGACATCAACCCGTCCTCAGCGGTCAACTTATCCCTCATTGCCATCAGATTAGACATAATGGCCCCCATTTGGCCGTTGTCTGGGACCAAGTCTTTAATCCATTCAAACTTCGGTAGACTTTCTTTCCATTCTTCATATTTCTATCAAAACATGAGATAATGTGTAAAATGAATGGCAAATACGGTATAATCGGCGGTAATGTCTTACTCTGGAAGCCTGAAGACCGCCGCCAACAGCGGATCCAACGATAATGTATCTGATCTTAAGGACACTCCTCAAGAGTCTGACGGCTGTAAACATATTTCGCTTATGTATTGAATATAACATTAAATTCTTTGCATTTTTCCGATTATTCACAAGAAGTGGTCGAAAGGCATGACATGACAGACACCTCTTCTGCCAATTTGTGCCCACATTTGACAACAAATGTCTTCTTGTGATGACTTGTATTTCGCTATTAAGACATGATTTACAAAACAAATACATTATTATAATTAAAAATATAATTCATTCACAAAAATGTTTCAAATGTTTTGAATTTATGTCTCGTTTTGTGCAAACCATTGAACTGTCCATTAATTACATCACACTATAAGCCAATACTTGAATCCCCTCTCAATTCTGATGCAATCCTTTGCCAATCAATTCAACATTTCATATATTATAAACTTTATAACTTATTATAACTTATTATAACTTATTATAACTTATAATTATTAAATCAAAATATTGTTCAAATGCAATACATTTACTGTTAATGAATACTATATAAAAAACACATTTTGGTTGACTAGTTGTGCGGTTAGACTAATGATGATTAAAATAGTTTCAATTCAATGTTCATTCATTGAGTATTAGATTTGAATGAATTACACGATTTGAATCAAATTTGTCTTAATTTTTTGATCAAATGACAGAATAAAGGCTTAGATTAGCTGTTGATCACAGGTTTAGAGTTAATAACAATTGATTTTTGAATTGAAAACATAGTATTTAATGAGTTTTGATAACAGATTGCAAACAATTTTTGTACTGATTTTTAATACAAGAGAAAAATAAAAACATTTTATTTTTTCTCAAATCAGTCTTTTTATCTTCTGATCCATAACTTTGATTGACTGACATTTATGTCGCGGCGGCGGTGGAACCGGTCTTGGATCCAGTCTTAGAGCCAGTCTTCGAGCCCGAGGCGGTCTTCTCTGCGCCAATGGCTGAACCGGTTTTCGATGGTGTCTTCGCCGCGTCAGCACCTGTTTTGGACGGTGTCTTCGCTGCGTCAGCGCTGGCGCCCGTTGACGACCCAGTCTTTGATCCAGTCTTGGAGGGCGTCTTCTCCGCGCCGCCCGTTTGGGATCCGGTCTTTGAGCCGCTTTTCTCAGCTCCGATCGCCGATCCTGTCTTCGATCCAGTTTTAGATCCCGCGGCCGGCGCTCCCGTCTGTGATCCGGCTTTAGATCCAGTGGCGGCGCCCAACGATGACCCGGCCTTTGATCCCGTCTGCGATCCGGCCTTAGATCCAGTGGCGGCGCCCATCGATGACCCGGCCTTTGATCCGGTCTGAGATCCTGTCTGAGAGCCCGCCTTTGAACCGCCGGCGCCCCCAATGTTGGAACCGGTTCGCGAAGAGATGACAGTTGAGCCGACTTTAGAGCCACCCATAGAAGAGCCGCCCATTGATGAGCCCATTGATGACGAGCCGGCCTTTGATGTGGAAGAGCCGGCGTTGGAGAGGGAAGAGCCATAACTGGAGTCGAGAGTGGATCCCATCGCGCTATTACTGGATCCCATGGATGACACTTTGGATCCGGTACTCGACCCGGTCTTTGAGCCCGTCTTCGAACCAGTTTTGGAGCCAGTCTTGGAGCCAGTGCTGGAACCGGTGCCCGAGGGTCCGGCCAACACCTTCGAGTCGGATTCGTCGCCCACTTTAGAGCCCAACGCTGACGGAGTGGCCGCCGACTCCGGCGGTTGCGCTTCTCCATCGGCTGGTGGCGGTGTCTCTTCGGCCGGAGGCGCGTCCGCTGGCGGCGCCTCTTCTCCCTCTGCCTTTGATCCGCAACAACCCATTCTGTATGGTATCGATTCACTCAAGATTACACTTTTCAAAGACTTTCCAAACGCCGCGAAATATGGATCAGAAGTTCACAGATCGTCAGTCAAACCGATTATGACTTCTCTTGGCTTCAAATTCAAACCCATTTCACGTTTAATTCAATTCATTTCATTGTTGTCTCGCGAATACAACAATCAATTTTGAATGCAATCAGTTATTCAATTTACAAACTATGAACACAACCGTACAGTATATACAGTAGAGTTAACTGCAATTCTTTGAATTTACAGTATATTGTTGAACACGAGATGAATGTAAAAACTAATGTTGAAACTTCACAATGAATGCCAATCTTTGAGTGAAACTAACGATATATCGCAAGAATATAATGAATAAGGAATCGACTCTAGGATTAAAAGCTTCTTCAGAAGACACGCAAAGCATTACATCAAAGAAAAGTTCAAATGAAGACCAGAATTGGAAAGTAGTTCTGGATTTGTGTCGACAAACAAATCCCATTCCTTTTGGAATAGAGTTTCCGAGCAGTCATTACAAGCGTTTGAAACCAATAGATTCCGGTTCTTATAGTCTTGTGAGCCGAGGATTCAATCAACAACTCAATAAAGACGTTGTATTCAAAGTGGTTAATGTTATCACATCCAAAATGTGCGCCCAATTAACTGGTGTTGATTTGGATGGCAAAGAACTGTTTAGTGAAGTACTCAATGAGATAATGGTAACCAAATGGCTGTCAAATCTTCACACGACGACAGTTGACTGTAGAGGACATGAGTTTGTGTGTCATTCGTTCCCCCGTATGCTTAGCGTGCGTTTAGTCCACGGATTGATTCCCAACTATTTCCTCATCAAAGAGACCGATGACTCGACGGAAACATTGGATCCGATTGAACAATACCGGGAAACACCGGGCACTCCGCGCCTGTATCTCGTGATAACCATGAAATACTGTGGAGAACCGCTTTGGAAAGTGATCCACAAGAAACAAGTGAATGAAAAACAACTGTTGAGTATCTGCTATCAGATAACTCTGGCCCTAACGGTGTGCGAGTGTGTGTATGAGTTCGAGCACCGGGACCTTCATATCGCTAATGTATTGCTCAAGAAAACCAAAAAGACTTATATTAAATACGTGATCAAAACGGAGACCTATAGAGTGCAAAGTTTTGGCGTTAAGGCCTGTATTATTGACACTACATTTTCGCGCATCAAAATCGGAAACAATGTTTATTTCACTTCATTAACGAATCGATTGAAACCCAAACTTGAGATTAAGAATCCAGACCTTCAGGACTGGGCGTATAGGTGTATGGCTAGGGATGCGCTCAATGACTGGCGACAGTGGATTCCCGGCACTAATATTTATTGGTTGAGATACTTATATAAAACAATTAAAATGTCGTCTATAGTGAATCAAAGCAAAGATCCAAAGGTTAAACATACTCTTGAAGATCTGCTCAAAACAATTGTTAAATATAATACATTAGAAGAATTTGTTAAACACATTCATAATATTGTTTCGAGATAAATGTCTTCGTAATCTTATATATGTTTAAAACAATGTTATTAACACAAAACAAACAATAATTAACTTAATTAAGTATTTTCATATTTCTCTGCTGTTAAGTAACGAATAAATGCATATTTTATTGATTAAGATTTTTATTCAACGAATAGTCAATAAATGAAATTTTGCCTAAAATTATTTGTTTAACAAAATATATATTTATTAACAATATTTATATAAATTGAGACTTTAAACCATTGATAAGTTAGTCATTTTATTCAGACGTTAACTCAAGAATGGCTCAATTGTTATAATAAAAGCCAAAATGTAATTTCAATGATAGTATTAAATAATAAAATAATTAAGAATCGAGAAAAAGAAATTATAGATCAAAGAATATTTGATTAAATTATAAAACTATAGATAAGTAAACGACTGAAAATATCCTTTGCTGTACAACTCATTCAAAGTATTCATCAATTATTCACTTCTGCTTTTTGTCGCTTTTGCAGGGCTTGTGCTAAGTCTGTCCGGAGGGCCTCCTGTTGTTTCTGTTCGGACAGACTGTGAACGGAACGCAATCCGTTTAAAATACTATTCGTTTTCCCGAAATAGATCTCATTCAATGTGTTGCGGATCTTATTCTCCATATCCTAACCAACAAAACAGGCCATCAATGCATTAGTTTGTGTCACATCTATGGGACAAACAATGACACAAACCTCAACCATTCTTCCGATGTTAGCGATGTGTGGATTCGTCTCATTCACTGTATTGTCGGCCTCTATCTGTCGCGTAAGACTTCCGCCCAAATTCATGGTCCCGGAG